ATGAACATAACAAGATTCAACAACTGAGAAATAAACTGAACAAGTTCCACAGACATGTGACTAACAGAAATGGAATAATGTGTCCCTGAACAAAGGGGGGGTCAAAATCAAAAGTAACAGTCAGTATCTGGTGTAGCCACCAGCTGCATTAAGTACTGCAGTGCATCTCCTCCTCATGGACTGCACCAGATTTGCCAGTTCTTGCTGTGAGATGTTACCCCACTCTTCCACCAAGGCACCTGCAAGTTCCCGGACATTTCTGGGGGGAATGACCCTATCCCTCACCCTCCGATCCAACAGGTCCCAGACGTGCTCAATGGGATTGAGTGGTCCTCTGTAGCTCAGCTGGTAGAGCACGGCGCTTGTAACGCCAAGGTAGTGGGTTCGATCCCCGGGACCACCCATACACAAAAATGTATGCACGCATGACTGTAAGTCGCTTTGGATAAAAGCGTCTGCTAAATGGCATATTATTATATTATTATTATTGAGATCCGGGCTCTTCGCTGGCCATGGCAGAACACTGACATTCCTGTCTTGCAGGAAATCATGCACAGAACGACCAGTATTGCTGGTGGTATTGTCATGCTGGAGGGTTATGTCAGGATGAGCCTGCAGGAAGGGTACCACATGAGGGAGGAGGATGTCTTCCCTGTAACGCACAGCGTTGAGATTGCCTGCAATGACAACAAGCTCAGTCTGATGATGCTGTGACACACCGCCCCAGACCATGACAGACCCTCCACCTCCAAATCGATCCCGCTCCAGAGTACAGGCCTCGGTGTAACGCTCATTCCTTCGACGAAAAACGCGAAGGACCTTGTGAAGATGCTGGAGGAAACAAGTACAAAAGTATCTACATCCACAGTAAAACAAGTCCGATATCGACATAACCTGAAAGGCCGCTCAGCAAGGAAGAAGCCACTGCTCCAAAACCACCATAAAAAAGCCAGACTACGGTTTGCAACTGCACATGGGGATAAAGATCCTACTTTTTGGAGAAATGTCCTCTGGTCTGATTAAACAAAAATAGAACTGTATGGCCATAAGGACCATCGTTATGTTTGGAGGAAAAAGGGGGGCGCTTGCAAGCCGAAGAACACCATTCCAACCGTGAAGCACGGGTGTGACAGCATCATGCTGTGGGGGTGCTTTGCTGCAGGAGGGACTGGTGCACTTCACAAAATAGATGGCATCCTGAGGAAGGAAAATTATGTGGATATATTGAAGCAACATCTCAAGACATCAGTCAGGAAGTTAAAGCTTGGTCGCAAATGGGTCTTCCAAATGGACAATGACCCCAAGCATACTTCCAAAGTTGTGGCAAAATGGCTTAAGGACAACAAAGTCAAGGTATTGGAGTGGCCATCACAAAGCCCTGACCTCAATCCTATAGGAAATGTGTGGGCAGAACTGAAAAAGCGTGTGCGAGCAAGGAGGCCTACAAACCTGACTCAGTTACACCAGCTCTGTCAGGAGGAATGGGCCAAAATTCACCCAACTTATATTGGTCTGTCCTCTCTTCAGGTTATGGCGAAGGTGACCACAGATGGTGTCGAGATGCATGGAAGGGATAATTTGACCAAGAACAGTGTGAACCTCAATCCCCCCTAACCGGCTGAAGTATTATCCTTCACCACTTCTACCGTGAGACCTGAGTCCGAGCCAGCAACCTGTACACAGCATCCAGTCGAAGCTATCAACTGCCTTTTCTCTCATGCCTTTTCTCTCAGGAGTACAACATGAGTCCACGTGGAGTGGGCATGGAGAGAGATCCCATCCAAACTTCTCTCATGCTGCTGGTGTACTGGTAGGAAAATGGACAAGACTTAATGGACTGTACAGGACAGTGGCAGCTCAGGTGAGAGACATTATCAAGGGCCATCCACTTTGAACATGTGCCATTGGGAGGACGAACTGAAACGCTATCTGAACAAAAACATGAAGAAACGCCAAAGGATGAGTGCCGGGAGGGAAGGGGGCCGGTCAACTGTGTGCCCGTAATTGATTTAGGTGTCATGACTGTGCCGGTCTTGACACCTTAACACTGCCATAAATTAGAGAGGAGGATAATCTATCTCTGGCCCTCTTGTATGGTGAAAGGAATGCCTTTGTTTCAGAGACTTAACGCCGCCCAAAAACTTCAACATCCAACAATGAACAATGGGACAATATATTTCAACATTCAAATGTTGGGAATGATGAGAAATGGAATATGCAAAATGAATGTCCATTTTGTGATGTCATTAAAAATGGTATAAAGGCGTTATAACGAAAACATTGTGACTTGAAGAGCTTTTACACTGTGAATATCAGGTTTACATCCTATACGTTGTGTAGAAAATATCAAGGAGGAAGACAATATTTTCGTGAAGATAGGAATGTGATTTTAGCTTTCTATCAAGATCATAGTGATGATAATACTTTTGCCTCGTAACTAGCCACGCCTGATTGAGCTCAGAGAGTGAGTCAGTATGACAGAAACGCCCCTCTTTACCAGAGTGCATAAAAGATTGAGTGAAGAATGATCAGATCAGACTAGACGGACCTCAAGCTACAGCTTTTGTCCATTTTGGTCCCGACCCTGAAAATCAACACGAGGTGAATACGACAAAGTTGACTCCACTAACAATCAATTTCATGGCTGAGTAGCTGTTCTAAGTACTGTATCTAAGAAGGTGAATTTAAGTGGGACCATCCTGTTACTCTCTTCAAACCATCGTCTACTACACTGCTCTCATCACCCCACAGGGGATCATCGACATGGCTGATTAGCCGTCCTCAGAAGACCACTTCCAGAACGAGTGAAAGTAAACAGACAACTAAGAAGAAGGACGGCAAGCCAGACAAAATTAAACGGGCCTATTTATATAATGAATATGAATTTGGAGGATAGAAATGATTAAATATTAAAGCATTAGACCTATCACTAAAAGCTTCAGTCATACAAAAGTTATACTTAAATCCGAACTGGTTCTCTAGCAAATTAGTAAGATTGTCTCACCCCATGTTCAAGAATGGTATTTTTCCATTTATTCAGATTACAACCTTTCACTTTCAGTTATTTGAAAAGGACATCATCTCCCAAAACGTTGTTTGCAATTTCAATTTAATCCTCCAGAAACAACAGAATAAATAATGCAACAAATATTGTGGTTAAACTCAAATATACTACTTGATAAAAAGCCAGTATAATCTTCGTAAATTATATCATCGGTAGGACTGGTGGAGTTATGCAGCTAACAAAAACATATGGAAATCTCTGCTCTACCCAAAATGTGAAGGAACACAGTTGGAGAGATATGGCATATAGAAGCAAACCGGATGGACATCATGAAAATGATCGGAGAGGTTGAGGGTAGAGGAAGTTCAGGAGTAAAAACAAACAAAATAGAATTATTGTAAAATTGACTGTGTCCATAAAATGTATATAGTATGTATAAGCTGGAAGTAGAGGCCTAAGTATTGTTGTTCACTAGTTTACTCCAATTAGGGAAGGGGTGGTGGGGTTGGAAAGTACTAAAGGGTCATGTATTTTTTTAAAGGATATGTATATATGTGTATGTATTTGTTTTATATGTATGTATGTATGTGTATATGTATGTATGTATGTATGTATGTATGTATGTATGTATGTATGTATGTATGTATGTATGTATGTATGTATGTATGTATGTATATAGTTTTGATGTCTTCACTATTATTCTACAATGTAGAAAATAGTAAAAAATAAAGAAAAACCCTTGAATGAGTAGGTGTGTCCAAACTTTTGACTGGTACTGTACATTGACATGGAATAACTGGTAACTTTAATAATGGAACTCTAGTCACTTTAATAATGTTTACATACTGCTTTACTAATTTCATATGTATAGACTGTATTCTGTTCTACTGTATTTTAGTCAATGCCACTCCGACATTGCTCATCCTAATATTTATATATTTCATATATTCCATTATTTTACTTTAGATTTGTGTGTATTGTTGTGAATTGTTAGATACTACTGCACTGTTGGAGCTAGGAACATAAGCATTTCGCTAAACCCGCAATAACATCTGCTAAATATGTGTATGTGACCAATACAATTTGATTGGATTTGATTTGAACTATACCGTAGAAATGGAAGATAAATCACAGAACATAGATGTTGTTGTGGCAGCTGCAGAGAAGTACTAGGGTGTAAGAGGTTTTACTGCAGAAGAGGTACAAGGTGTGTTGAACAATAGTGTCCCGTCCTCCCAGGCTGTCAGCCTGATGTAGGATTAGTTATGGTCAAATTAGTGGAATAGGGTGGTGATTTTAATTTTAATTAAATAGTGGTATATAGGTGTAGGGTTAGTTGGTGGTGCATTTTGTTTTCCTTTCCCCTTCCATTTAAGTTTTTGTATCACGAAATGTAACGTGATTGACTACACACTACCGCACAGTAGGTGGCGGCATGTACAAACAAAATGTACGAACACCATGATACCAAAGAAGAAAAAGAAGACGAAGAAGCAGAATAAATATTTTACCAAAGATTTGTATAAGTAACCCAAGATAGACCAAAGCCTGTCGTGTCTAAAACAAACAAGGAGGTGGGCAGAGCCAAGCAGGAGCTAGCGAGATCCTATTGGCGCGTTCTAGCACGTATTTGCATATTTTCATTAGGGAAAGCCTACTATGTGAAGTGCGCGTGTGCAATAACTCAATTCGCCCTTGCATTCCTTCTAAAGAAAGCACATTTTTGTTACTTTAGCAAAGGGCAAAGTCTACAAAACTTAGTCCACTCTGTTCGTAACAGATTGTAGTTTTGGAAACAGAAAACTGTATTGAGATCAAAATCAGCGGAATGTCGGCCAAAATCAATTTCGCTCCATCTTCTCCCACTGCCGGCCACTGGGCTTCCTCTCATCACCATATTTGGTAGTGAGTGGAAACTCCAACCAGATGCTTCACATTTATACATCCGGTGAAATATCTGGCTCATTGTTCTAATCTGTTATATTACTTCTTGGCTAGGGAAGTGCCACGGTGTCCAACAGAGGCGAACGTTACAGTAGTTTGTGTGGTTATAGTGGTTGTGAGATATCAAGCCAGAGTCCACTGTGCATTTTACTGTTTGCATTTATTTTCCTTCAGGTGTTATTATATGAAAACTCCAATCTGGATCGCAGCGGTAACAACAGGAAGAAGATAGAGGAATTCTCTAGGTCTTCTCGTGACAAACTGGTCCAGTCGAAGAACAAAATGTTCTCCAAATTTACATCGATTCTACAGCACGCAGTCGAGGCGGTGAGTTTTTCATTGATGTGGAAGATGTCAAACCGCTGGAAGAAAGGTTCAATCGAGGTCGGAGACAATTGGGCCCAACTGGACGTTCTATTGAAGTTAACCACATAACTGTTAGCGTATGCTAGTTAGCTTTGCCAGATGTGAGCCTAGGTGCTGCTGACGCTAACAACAGAGGTGTACAACAACACAAGTTTCGCTCTGGTTTTAGGGCTTGTTTCACTTCATATAAACCAATGTGATTTAAATAATTAGCTAAAGCTGTTAGCTACATTGCCCTGATTGTGGCTGGGCTAGCTAACGTTATCTAGCTAGCAAGCTAATGTTTACGTCTCGGCAAATCTGTTTTTATTTTATTTAAAGATGAGCTTGAAATGGGCGCATGGTCTAATTGAGTCAACAACCCAGAAAACAAATCTAAGTTTAGCTTTCCTAACGAACTAAGTTAACCCTAAGGCCGGCAGATCAATTATTTGTGTATGTTTGTCAAAGCTGGTTAACTCATTGAAACTGCTTTGTATACCCCTCTGCCTCTGACCTTTTAACGTTACCATATGGGTTTCCTGTCAAGCAAGAAAGACAAATTAATTGTGATGTACATGCTAGTTAGTCGGCTACTCAACGTTTGTTGCTGTCAAACGTTAGCAAGGGTTCCATCTCTGGTGGATTTCTCAACACCCTTGTTGATAAGATGTGACTTGTCGACATTGCGCAAACGAGTGACTGTACAAAAGCTATTTATACAGTTTATAAGACACTACATTTGGGGACTACAAGGAGTAGGCCTACATGTCCTATGTGCAGAGAGAGTGAAAAGATCTGCTTGAGCAGATTACATGTTTGTGCATCTTGCCTGGACAAGAGAGTCTGGTTGCTTTACACACATACTGGCTGAAGGCCTGTAATAAAGATTGCTAAACTAATTAATCAGACACTGGACTAATCCCATCCTCATATCTCAATATTGTGTGATAAACATCGTTTTGATTTCATCTCTCTTTCCGTTTCAGCTTGCGCCTTCACTGCCCTTGCAGGAGGACTTTGTGTATCACTGGAAAGCCATCACACATTATTACATAGAGACATCAGGTAAGACCAAATCAACAGCACTTAATAGACATCAAGTATGAGTTTCAAATCACTGTAAACAGACATGGAGTATAGATATGTTATCAATGATGTATTACCTGTAATGACAATATGCATCGAAAGCAATGTTTGTTTGTTTCGTCTGTGTCAGATGACAAAGCCCCCGTGACAGACACCAACATCCCGTCCCATCTGGAGCAGATGCTGGACATCCTGACGCAGGAGGAGTCAGAGAGGGAGTCTGGAGAGACTGGGCCCTGCATGGAGTACCTGCTGCACCACAAGATCCTAGAGACCCTCTTCACCCTGGGCAAGGCCGATGTAAGGGGAACAATGCCCTTTTCACACTATCATGCCGACTCAAACCACACTGGACTGGCTCTGACAGTTTCTTTTCACATTGTCCTTTTCAGCAACTTTAGTGGATGTATACCCAGGCCAGCACAGTACAGCAAGACTTGGCTCAGTAGTGTGAAAAAAGTAAAAGACCTAACTGCACTCTGTTGGATAGTTAGCCTATACCAAACCATGTTAGAAAGACCAGATCAAGTATGAAAAGTACCATGATGTTTCTTAATCTTAATCTATTGGTGTTGTTTTGTTTCTATCAGTGTCCTCCGGGAATGAAGCAGCAGGTCCTGAGTTTCTACACCAAGCTGCTAGGACGCATTCACCAGCCTCTTCTGCCCCACATCAATGTCCATAGACCTGTACAGGTGAGATCCAAGCTGTTTTACTTTGGTCGATATGGATGGTTTTAACACGATATGGATGGTTTTAACACATGAATGTGTTTTACTATGTAGATGTGTCATTTGTACACTGTTTCAGTGTGATGTAATGTGTCTCCCTTGTTGTCTCCTCAGAAACTCATCCGTCTGTGTGGAGAGATCCTGGCTGCTCCCACGGAGAACGAGGAGATCCAGTTCCTCTGCATTGTCTGTGCCAAACTAAAGCAGGACCCCTACCTCGTTAACTTCTTCCTGGAGGTAAGTATGATGTCCATATGATGCTACCATAACAGAGACAGCAGGGTTGTGTTCATTAGGCACCAAACGCTCTGAAATAGATTAAAATAGAGAGGTACTATCTGTACTTATCCAATAAATAAAAAAAAGCCAAATTTCGTTTTATGTTTATGCTCCAATGAAAACGACCCAGGGCGTTTCAGTAAGGTGACTAGAGAGAAAGCTCAACTGATGTCACACAGTTTGAATCCTTCAATGTTTATTTTCTTGTATCTCCTGGTTCACAGAATAAAGTGAAGAGACCTGACCCAAAGAGTCCCGGTGCAGAGGGGGTTAGAGAGGACTTGGCTTCACCAGACACAGGTCAGCCCCAGGCAGAGGGACAGGCAGCTGAACCACCTGAGGAGCCCAAGGCTGCTGCTGCCCAGTCCAACAACTACAACATAGTCACGTCTCTCCTCAACCTCACCAAGAGTCCGGTCAGTTCCTCCTCATACCACAAATCTGGGACCAGGTTACTCATCCCACACTGATGTTGGATGTAGTCTGTTTTGATTTGAGGTTGCAGTGGGAATAGGCTTAGTGGTGTTTTTAATGTAGCTTGAACTGTCTTTGTGTTGTTTGAGTAGCATCTATATTCATGCTTTCCCCTCTCTCTCTCTGTCTCTGTCTCTGTCTCTGTCTCTGTCTCTGTCTCTGTCTCTGTCTCTGTCTCTCTCTCTCTGTCTCTGTCTCTCAGGATGGCAGGATAGTGGTGAAGGCGTGCGAGGGCCTCATGCTGCTGGTCAGTCTGCCCGAGCCGGCCGCTGCCAAGTGTCTGACGGAAAACACTGAGCTCTGTGAGCTCCTGACTGACAGACTGTCAGCCTTCTACAAGGCTCTCCCCACGTCCATGGATCCCCTGGACATTGAGACAGTGGAGTCAGTCAACTGGGGGTGAGGCTTTGCTGTCCGCTCCTCAAGCTTCCTCTGCTTTGTCAGAGAGACAGTGCCTTCAGAAAGTATGCATACTCCTTGAATTTTTCCAAATTTTGTTGTGTTACAGCCTGAATTTAAAATTGATTATATTTTGATTTTGTTTCACTGGCCTACACACAATACCCCATAATGGCAATGTGGAATTATGTTTTTAGAAAGGTTTACAAATTAATTAAAAATTAAAAGCCGAAAAGTATTGAGTCAGAGTATTCACCCCCTTTGTTATGGCATGTATAATTAAGTTTAGGAGTAGAAATGTGCTTAACAAGTCACATAATAAGTTGCATGGACTCACTCTGTGTGCAATAATAGTGTTTAACATTAATTTTGAATGACTACCTCATTTAGGTACCACACACACAATTATCTGTAAGGTCCCCCAGTTGATCAGTGAATTTCAAACACCGATTCAACCACAAAGACCAGGGAGGTTATTCAATGGCTTGCAAAGAAGGGCACCTATTGGGAAAATGGTACAAATAAAAAAAGCTGACATTTATTATCCCTTTGAGCACGGTGAAGTTATTAATTCCACTTTGGATGGTGTATCAATACACCCAGTCACTACAAAGATACAGGCGTCCTTCCTAACTCAGTTGCCGGAAAGGAAGGAAACCGCTCAGGGATTTCACCATGAGGCCAATGGTGACTTTAAAACAGTTACAAAGTTTAATGGCTGTGATAGAACTGAGGATGAATCAACTATATTGTAGTTACTCCACAATACTAACCTAAATGAGAGTGAAAAGAAGGAAGCCTGTACATAATACAAATATTCCAAAACAAGCATCCTGTTTGCAATAATGTCCTGAATACAAAGTGTTATGTTTGGGGCAAACACAACACATCACTGAGTACCACCTGGTTGTCTGCTTTCCAACAGACACTAGAATACATTTACCTTTCAACAGAACAATAACTTAAAACAGAAGGCCAAATATACACTGGAGTTGCTTACCAAGATTACATTTAATGTTCCTGAGTGGCCAAGTTGCAGTTTTAACTTAAATCGGTTTGAAAATCTATGGCAAGACTTCAAAATGGCTTTCTAGCAATGATCAACAACCAACTTGATAGAGCTTGAATAATTTTTTAAAGAATAATGTGCACCTGTTGTATTCGGCGCATGTGACCAATAAAATTTGATTTGAAATATCGTACAATCCAAGTGTGCAAAGCTCTTAGAGACTTACTCAGAAAGACTCACAGGTGTAATCGCTGCCAAAGGTGATTCTAACATGTATTGACTCAGGGGTGTGAATACTTATGTTAATGAGATATTTCTGTATTTAATTTTCAATAAATTAGCAAAAATGTCTAAAAACAGGTTTTCTCTGTCATTATGGGGCATTGTGTGTAGATGGTTGATGGGAAAAATCGATGTAATCTATTTTGAATTCAGGCTGTAACACAACAAAATGTGGAATAGGTCAAGGGATATGTATGAAAAATGTATGCACTCACTAACTGTAAGTCACTCTGGATAAGAGCGTCTGCTAAAAATGGCAATAAAAAAATATGAATACTTTTTTGAAGGCACTGTAATGCTACATATATTTTGTGTCCCTATATATATATTGTTTAACCTTTATTTAACTAGGTAAGCCAGTTGAGAACAAGTTCTCATTTACAACTGCGACCTGGCTAAGATAAAGCAAAGCAGTGCTATAAAAACAACAACACAGTTACATATGGGGTAAACAAAACATACAGTCAATAACACAATAGAAAATCTATATACTGTGTGTGCGAATGTAGTAAATTATGGAGGGAAGGCAATAAATAGGCCATAGTGCAAAATAGTTACAATTTCATATTAACACTGGAATGATAGATGTGCAAAAGATGATGTGCAAATAGAGATACTGGGGTGCAAATTAGCAAAATAAATAACAATATGGGAATGAGGTAGTTGGATGGGCTAATTTCAGAATGGCTGTGTGCAGGTGCAGTGATCGGTAAGCTGCTCTGACAACTGACGCTTAAAGTTAGTGAGGGAGATACAGTGGGGAGAACAAGTATTTGATACACTGCCGATTTTGCAGGTTTTCCTACTTACAAAGCATGTAGAGGTCTGTCATTTTTATCATAGGTACACTTCAACTGTGAGAGACGGAATCTAAAACAAAAATCCTGAAAATCACATTTGTATGATTTTTAAGTAATTAATTTGCATTTTATTGCATGGCATAAGTATTTGATACATCAGAAAAGCAGAACTTAATATTTGGTACAGAAACCTTTATTTGCAATTACAGAGATCATACGTTTCCTGTAGGTCTTGACCAGGTTTGCACACACTGCAGCAGGGATTTTGGCCCACTCCTCCATACAGACCTTCTCCAGATCCTTCAGGTTTCGGGGCTGTCGCTGGGCAATACGGACTTTCAGCTCCCTCCAAAGATGTTCTATTGGGTTCAGGTCTGGAGACTGGCTAGGCCACTCCAGGACCTTGAGATGCTTCTTACGGAGCCACTCCTTAGTTGCCCTGGCTGTGTGTTTCGGGTCGTTGTCATGCTGGAAGAACCAGCCACGACCCATCTTCAATGCTCTTACTGAGGGAAGGAGGTGGTTGGCCAAGATCTCGCGATACATGGCCCCATCCATCCTCCCCTCAATATGGTGCAGTCGTCCTGTCCCCTTTGCAGAAAAGCATCCCCAAAGAATGATGTTTCCACCTCCATGCTTCACGGTTGGGATAGTGTTCTTGGGGTTGTACTCATCCTTCTTCTTCCTCCAAACACGGCGAGTGGAGTTTAGACCAAAAAGCTCAATTTTTGTCTCATCAGACCACATTACCTTCTCCCATTCCTCCTCTGGATCATCCAGAATGTCATTGGCAAACTTTAGACGGGCCTGGACATGCGCTGGCTTGAGCAGGGGGACCTTGCGTGCGCTGCAGGATTTTAATCCATGACGGCGTAGTGTGTTACTAATGGTTTTCTTTGAGACTGTGGTCCCAGCTCTCTTCAGGTCATTAACCGGGTCCTGCCGTGTAGTTCTGGTCTGATCCCTCACCTTCCTCATGATCATTGATGCCCCACGAGGTGAGATCTTGCATGGAGCCCCAGACCGAGGTTGATTGACCGTCATCTTGAACTTCTTCCATTTTCTAATAATTGCGCCAACAGTTGTTGCCTTCTCAGCAAGCTGTTTGCCTATTGTCCTGTAGCCCATCCCACTTACTGGTTGGTAGGTGATCAAATACTTATGTCATGCAATAAAATGCAAATGAATTACTTAAAAATCATACAATGTGTTTTTCTGGATTCCGTCTCTCACAGTTGAAGTGTACCTATGATAAAAATTACAGACCTCTACATGCTTTGTAAGTAGGAAAACCTGCAAAATCGGCAGTGTATCAAATACTTGTTCTCCCCACTGTAAGAGTCTCCAGCTTCAGAGATTTTTGCAGTTCGTTCCAGTCATTGGCAGCAGAGAACTGGAAGGAATGGCGGCTAAAGGAGGTGTTGGCTTTGGGGATGACCAGTGAGATATACCTGCTGGAGCGCAGACTACGAGTGGGTGTTGCTATGGTGACCAGTGGGCTAAGATAAGACAGGGATTTACCTAGCAGTGATTTATAGATGACCTGGAACCAGTGGATTTGGCGACGAATATGTAGTGAGGGCCAGCCAACAAGAGCGTACAGGTCACAATGGTGGGTAGTATATGGGGCTTTGGTGACAAAACGGATGGCACTGTGATAGACTACATCCAATTTGCTGAGTAGAGTGTTGGAGGCTATTTTGTAAATGACATCGCCGAAGTCAAGGATCGGTAGGATAGTCCGTTTTACGAGGGCATGTTTGGCAGTATGAGTGAAGGAGGCTTTGTTGCGAAATAGGAAGCCGATTCTAGATTTAACTTTTGATTGGAGATGCTTAATGTGAGTCTGGAAGGAGAGTTTACAGTCTAACCAGACACCTAGGTATTTGTAGTTGTCCACATACTCTAGGTCAGACCCGCCGAGAGTAGTGATTCTAGTCAGGTGGGCGGGTGCAAGCAGCGTTCGGTTGAAGAGCATGCATTTAGTTTTACTAGTGTTTAAGAGCAGTTGGAGGCTACGGAGGGAGTGTTGTATGGCATTGAAGCTCGTTTGGAGGTTTGTTAACACAGTGTCCAATGAAGGGCCAGATGTATACAAAATGGTGTCGTCCGCATAGAGGTGGATCCGAGCGTCACCAGCAGCAAGAGACATCATTGATATACACAGAGAATAGAGTCGGCCCGAGAATTGAACCCTGTGGCACCCCCATAGAGACTGCCAGAGGTCCAGACAACAGGCCATCCGATTTGACACATTGAACTCTATCTGAGAAGTAGTTGGTGAACCAGGCGAGGCAGTCATTTGAGAAACCAAGGCTATTTAGTCTGCCAATAAGAAGAATGCGGTGGTTGACAGAGTCGAAAGCCTTGGCCAAGTCGATGAAGACGGCTGCGCAGTACTGTCTTTTATCGATCGCGGTTATAATATCGTTTAGGATCTTGAGCGTGGCTGAGGTGCACCCAAGGGGTGGGGGGGCAAGTTGCAGCGGAGGGTGCAGAGCTGGTGGCCGGGGTAGTGGAAGCCAGGTGGAAAGCATGGCCAGCCGTAGCAAAATGCTTGTTGAAATTCTCGATTATTGTAGATTTATCGGTGATGACAGTGTTTCCTAGCCTCAGTGCAGTGGGCAGTTGGGAGGAGGTGCTCTTATTCTCCATGGACTTTAGTGTCCCAAAACTTTTTGGAGTTAGTGCTACAGGATGCAAATTTCTGTTTGAAAAAGCTAGCCTTTGCTTTCCTAACTGATTGTGTATATTGGTTCCTGACTTCCCTGAAAAGTTGCATATCGCGGGGGCTGTTCGATGCTAATGCAGTACGCCACAGGATGTTTTTGTGCTGGTCAAGGGTAGTCAAGTCTGAGGAGAACCAGGGGCTATATCTGTTCTTAGTTTTGAATTTTTTGATTGAGAGGAAAGCACTTTTAAAGAACAACCAGGCATCCTCTACTGAAGGAATGAGGTCAATATCCATCCAGGATACCCGAGCCAGGTCAATTAGAAAGGCTTGCTCGCTAAAGTGTTTTAGGGAGCGTTTGACAGTGATGAGGGGTGGTCGTTTGACCGCGGACCCATTACGGACGCAGGCAATAAGGCAGTGATCGCTGAGATCCTGGTTGAAGACAGCGGAGGTGTATTTAGAGGGTAAATTTGTCAGGATGGTATCTATGAGGGTGCCCATGTTTACAGATTTAGGGTTGTACCTGGTAGGTTCGTTGATAATTTGTGTGAGATTGAGGGCATCTACTTTAGATTGTAGGTTGGCCGGGGTGTTAAGCATATCCCAGTTTAGGTCACCAAGCAGTACGAACTCTGAGGATAGATGGGGGGCAATCAGTTCACCATATGGTGTCCAGGGCACAGCTCGGGGCTGAGGGGGGTCTGTAGCAAGCGGCAACAGTCAGAGACTTATTTCTGGAAAGGTGGATTTTTAGAAATAGAAGCTCAAACTGTTTGGGCACAGACCTGGATAGTATGATAGAGCTCTGCAGGCTATCTCTACAGTAGATTGCAACCCCACCCCCTTTGGCAGTTCTATCGAGACGGAAAATGTTGTAGTTGGGGATGGACATTTCTGAATTTTTGGTGGCCTTCCTAAGCCAGGATTCAGACACTGCTAGAACATCAGGGTTGGCGGAGTGTGCTAACGCAGTTAATAACTCAAACTTAGGGAGGAGGCTTCTGATGTTAACGTGCAAGAAACCCAGGCTTTTACGGTTACAGAAGTCAACAAATGATAATGCCTGGGGAGTAGGAGTGATACTGGGGGCTACAGGGCCTGGGTTAACCTCTACATCACCAGAGGAACAGAGGAGGAGTAGAATAAGGATACGGCTAAATGCTTTAAGAACTGGTCTTCTAGTGCGTTGGGTACAGAGAAAAAAAGGGGCAGATTTACGGGCATTGTAGAGTAGATTCAGGACATTATGTACAGACAAGGATATGAGTACAGTGGAGGTAAACCTAAGCGTTGGGTAACGATGAAAGAGATAGCATCACTGGCGGCACCGATTGAGTTGGTCTCCGCGTGTATGGGGGGTGGGACAAAGGAGCTGTCTAAGGCAGGTTGGGCAGGGCTGGGTGCTCTACAGTGAAATAGTACAATAAGAAATAACCGAAACAGCAATAAGCAAGGCATATTGACAAATGGCACCCTATTCCCTATATAGTGCACTACTTTTGACCAGGGCCCATTTAATCTCGGAAACCCAGAACTAAAATCATGTGTGATTGCGTCAGATGCTCCATCATGTTCTGGGGGAGATGTATGAGAAAAGATACTAACCAGACTAGCGAAGTCTCAACCTCCTAAACGGAAACTCTCAACCAAAGCATGGGCCAAATATCCCCTCCCGAAATTCGAAACATGCGAACAACTGCGAAATCGTGATTTGTCCAAATGATCAGTGACGAATAAATCAAAAATGTCTCGTTAGTCTGGTGATGGGCGCTACGATGCCAGCCTATGTTACGTGTGTCTGTCTAAGAGAGATTAGGGCACATAGACTACTTATGGGCCCTGGTCAAAAGTATTGCACTATATGGGTACGTTTGGGACACGTATGCGGCATACCCCCTCTCTAAATTAGTATCAGTGAATGGTCTGCCAAGGGAAAATTGTAGGGATGTGCATCTTTCTCTTTCAAGATTATTCGATATGTATCTAGACACATGGGCTCCGATGCAATACAGGAACGATACGTTTTAGTTTGAAATTATTAGGTTTGATTAGAGAAAGAATCGATGCGATAAGATTCTATGCAGTAACATTTGTTGCATAAACATTCATTTTCCATTCTACACTGAACATAAATATAAACGCAATATGTAAAGTGTTGGTCCCATGTTTCATGAGCTGAAATAAAAGATCTCCGAAATGTTCCATGCACAAAAAAGGTTATTTCTCTCAAATGTTGTGTACAAATCTGTTTATATCTCTGTTAGTGAGCATTTCTCCTTTGCCAAGATAATCCATCCACCTGACAGGTGTGGCATATCAAGAAGCTGAATGAACAGCATGCTCATTACATAGGTGTACCTTGTGTTGGAGACAATGAATGGCCACTCTAAAATGTGCAGTTTTGTCACAAAACACAATGCCACAGATGTCTCAAGTTTTGAAGGTGCGTGCAATTGGCATGCTGACTGCAAGAATGTCCACCAGAGCTCTTGTCAGAGAATGTATTGTTAATTTCTCTACCATAAGCCGTTTGAGATTTTGGCAGTACGTCCTACCAGCCTCACAACCGCAGACCACATGTATGGCGTCGTGTGGGCGAGCAGTTTTCTGATTTTGAAGTTGTGAAGTTGTGAAGAGTGCCCCATGGTGGCGGTGGAGTTATGGTATGGGCAGGCATACGCTACGGAAAACGAACACAATTACATTTTATTGATGGCAATTTGAATGCACAGAGACACCATGATGAAATCCTGAGGCCTATTGTCATGCCATTCACCACATGTTTCAGCATGATAATGCACGGCCCCATGTTCCAAGGATCTGTACACAATTCCTGAAAGCTGAAAATGTCCCAGCTCTTCCTTGGCCTACGTACTCACCAGACATCACCCATTGAGCATGTTTGGGATGCTCTGGATCGACGTGTACGACAGCGTGTTCCAGTTCCCGCCAATTTCCAGCAACTTCACACAACCATTGAAGAGGAGTGAGACAACATTCCACATGCCACAATCAACAGCCTGATCCACTTTATGCGAAGGAGACGTGTCACGCTGCATGAGGCAAATGACTGGTTTTCTGATCCGCGCCCCTACGTTTTTTTAAGGTATCTTTGACCAACAGATACATATCTGTATTCCCAGTCATGTGAAATCCATAGGGCCTAATTTATTCATTTCGATTGACTGATTTCCTTATATGAACTGTAACTCAGTAAAATCTTTTAAATTGTTGCATGTTGCGTTTATATTTTTGTTCAGTATAAATTACAATCTGCTGCTGATTTAGCTCATGAGCTGGGCCTCTCTGAGCTGACCTGTGTGTGTCTGTGTAAAAAAACATTAGGAACACCTTCTAATATTGAGTTGCACCCACTTTTGCCCTCAGAACATCCTCAATTCGTCAGGGCATGCTCTACAAGGTGTCGAAAGCGTTCCACAGGGATGCTGGCCCATGTTGAATGCAATGCTTCCCACAGTTGTCAAGTTGGCTGGATGTCCTTTGGGTGGTGGACCATTCTTGATACACAAACTGTTAAGCGTGGAAAAACCCAGCAGCGTTGCAGTTCTTGACACACTCAAACCAGTGCACCTGGCACCTACTACCATACCCCGTTCAAAGGCACTTAAATCTTTTGACTTGATTTCACCCCTATCTCAAAATCGAATGGTTTTGACCGTTTCGAAGTTTTTTCAGAGCGATCTTCTCCTTTCGCTTCGGCCATGCAGTGCGCCTCGAAATTATCAACTTTACCCTATTGTTTAAAGCAAAACTACCTAAACTATTGCTGATGGTGAACCTGGACAATCCAAATAAAGTATATTGTAAGCCCCATTCAGCAGGTATAGCCAGATGAGAGTTGGCTCCTGTAGCTTACTTTTATTCCGATAAAACACAATTTTCAACAGCACATAGATAACAATAACCTAGCAAATTACATAGGTTGTCACTCAACTAATAAAGCCTAATATCACGTAAGCCAGATGTGCAAGATCAGGAACAGGCCTCCAACCTCGCCTTGGTCAGCGCGCAAAACTGGGCACAGTGTGCAGTTTGACAATGCTACTGATATTGCCTGGTGGTGTTTGTCACGTATGCACAATTATTTGTAGATCAATGACTGTCAACGCAGTTACATGCAGTTCAACACTGAAAGAGCGGACACAACAGTTGTCACAAAATGACGTATTTTAGGAAGGTACAAAGAATGTAATATGAGCAAAACAATTTAGTGAACCGCCGATTCAAACGTTACGAGTCTGTTTTCTGACCAATGGATGCTACATTTGGATTGGTTTGGTTTAAATCGGTTTGGGGTCCGCAGACCGATGAATGATCATTTGAATCGGGAACTGATGCGTATCGGTGAATCGTTACATCCCTAGAAAATTGGTTAATCAATTGAGTGTGATGATTTATCAATGCTAACCCTGTTTTAGTTGCACTGGACATTTAACAAGCTACATTAGACCCCATCAAGCTAAAAGCCCCCCTGAGAGAAACCTATGGCCAAACGCTGGCCTCAGTTCAAAATAGAAACATTACACGATTCCTCAGTTAAAACACAACAAATATCTCTATCCGAGTTAAGACAACTATAGAATGAATATACATCTTGATCAGTTAAGAATCGGCATCAGAAAAGTATAGTACCTCAATTGTCTCTGGTGTCCGTTACAGACTGGATGTGTATAACATGAAGGATGATGCTGCCATCTTCACTGGGAAGCGAGCGCTCATCTCCTTCCTGTCTTGGCTCGATTACTGTGACCAGCTCATCAAAGAGGCTCAGAAGGTAACAACACTGACACACCATTGACTGGGAAATGCTTTAAATAGAAGGCACAGTGACTTGTTAGAATTTAATTCAGCAAAAACATAAGATAATACAATTAGCTATATATTCAAGTCTCACAAAGACTTATATTACGTACATCTATAGTTTTTATATCAAAGTGACTTTGTGAGTAATTAGACATTTCTTGGTCTTTTACCCTAAGACGGCTGCTGCAGTGTTGGCTAAAGCAGTGAGAGAGAGGTTCTTTGTGGCGGTCATGGAGCCCCAGCTGATGCAGACGTAAGTCCCTATTCAGAATCCTCAGGGGAACACTCATAGGTTCCTCTCTTCGTTTGAATGTGTATGTATGACTGCCCCTGACTAGATCCATTGACAATGAAAGATGATAATGCTGTGTCAGCGGATGACGGTGTCCCTTCTGTCCCCTGTTTAGGTCAGAGGTGGGCGTCCTGACCTCCACGGCTTTGCTGAACAGGATCATCCGCCAGGTGACCTCGGAGGCCCTGCTGCAGGACATGGTCTACTTCCTCCTGGGGGAGGAGAAAGGACCAGAGACGCTAGCCAGCACTGCCCAGAACCCCCTCCGACACAGACTCATAGAGCACTGTGACCATCTGTCAGATGAGGTGACCACCCATATTCATGCATAATACTCTGTTGGCTACACCTTGATACACACTCTGCCTCTGGTGGTTGGGTTTGACATGGGACAAATATATTGTATTTTTCCAATGTGATGCTGCGGAAGTAGTGAAGACTGTTTGGTCTCCTAGTCAAAGAAATGCCCCAACGCGTTATATGTTAGCGTGAACACTGCTCCTTCATGGAACTCCCTGTCAGCGAAGCCTTTCGTCCGGGCGCCTGCCATCCTGTGCGCGCTCCCTCACCACATTGGCAGAGAAACAACAGGCTGGGGGTTCGGCGGGGAAACTCGTTTAAACCTGGCTAAAAACAGTCTTATGCCTAGTAGCATAATTATAGTGATATTTTCCTATGCACTGCATTCTTTGCCTTCCTTTTAGACAGAATAAAAAAAAAAAAAGGGTTGGGCGAATAACTTGAAAAATGTAATCCATAAGCCTACTAATGCATTCATTAATAAATGTCAAACGTGCACATAGTCAATTTGAGAAACTGAAAGAAAAAATACATTTCAATCTTGTAATAATTTATATTCTTTCAATTTGCACAGGTAGGAAAGTGCCCAGACGACTGTGTGCTGATTGACCAGTAGGCTAGGTGTGAATGTTCTGAAGCTTAATTCTAATCAATCATGAATAAAATCTGAAACCCATCAACACCTTATGGGCCATCAGCGGGACAAAACTCTTGCTGAGTCTATGAAATGGTGCGCTGTTAACGGCAGCACCGCTTTATCAAATGTTAAACTTGATATTTTAGGCTACGCCGTGAAAAATAGTTTCCATGGGCACACAAATCCGAAATGATGTATGCGATTGAAAAATGGAATGCTTTTAACCGAAAGAGTCACCTAACATGCATGGTTCTTCAATATGCATAGGCTAATAGGCCTACTTGTTGGATGCACATTGGGTATCCAGCTGTTTGGTCAGGCATAGGGATGTTGTCGACCATCAGCTGATCCAGGAAATATTTTTCTGAATGACAGTCAAGTGACAAACAGCTGTTTACCCCTACATTTATGTTGATTATCTGCTATTCTCAGCTTGATTTACAGTAGGGTCTAGAAGATTTCACAGACAAAGCATCAAGTTAATGAGTTAATGTTTTCATATGTTTCTGTGCATTACCTTGGAAACCGAGTCTAGGCTACTGTGCGAATTGTGTAGGATAACCTAGGCTGTTGCGCGAACACCCAACGGTATTTTCCTTTCTGTTATTCAGGATATTTATTGACATGTTTGGTGAATTTGAATGATGTGAATAATGATGATGGTGAAAGCCCACTAACAGATGGACTGCGATCCCTTTAATCATAGAGGCTATTTTTACTTTGTGTCTCTAAAATCACGTTTCCATTTTTATTGTCATGTGACAGTCTTGATTTTCTTTTGAAATGTCCAAATATCTGCCTTTTACCAGATCTGAATATTTTCCCATGAACTGTTTCTTTTCATACATTCGGTAGTCTATGTTACAAAATATAATATTCTGCCCATATGAACAAATGTATTTTAGGCCAACTACAGCTACATGATTTAATGAAAAGCAGCAAACAGACACAATATTATGGTGTATGTCCACCACCCAAAGGACATCCAGCCAACTTGACAAGATCCTACATCTGTACTGCACTTAGGCCTACTGGACGTCAATGCCACAGCACTAACCCCAGTGTAAACGCATGTCAGTGGATGGGAAAGCAGTGTCACACGAATAGACATTACAGGATGTAAACATTTTCATGAATAAGTTAAGTGCGCTGTCCCCGTATTTTGATGGGTTACCATGACAACTGGCCTCAGACATTGTCTCATCGTAAAGGATAACATAGCCTAAATGCTTTGCCATTATATTTCTGTCCTCATAAAGACATCATTGGAGTAGAACCGTAACAATCCACAAAGCCGTGGGAAGTAGGGGTGCTTAGGGTGCTGTAGCACCCAAAAAATAATAACAAGCTTTTATATTTGAAAAGAATGGGCTACTGGGCCTTTTTAATAATCTTGTGTTAGCAGACCGATATAGCCGTCTGCAGCACAGGCAACAACTTTCTTCCACCCCCCCAGCCAACTTGACACAACTGTGGAAAGCATTTGAGTCAACATGGGCCAGCATCCCTGTGGAAATGCTTTCAACACCTTGTTTGGCATGGCTTGATCGTATGGTGCGTGGAGGTTCATAGGGGAAGAGTAGATCTGACAGGTAGGCGGGTCCGATGCCATTTATGGCTTTGTAGATGAGGCAGAGAATTTTATAGTCAATTATTTGAGAAACAGGTAGCCAATGGAGATCAGCAAGGATGGGGTGATGTGGGCTGACTTTTTTAGTTTGTCAGAATCCTTGCAGCACTGATTTGGATGAGCTGTAGTTTAGGAATTGAATTTGCAGGCAGGCCCCCAAGTATTGCGTTCCCATAATCAATTCTGGAGAAAAGTAGTGCATGGATTAGCTTTTCTGCTTCATATGTGGTGAGAGAGAGTCTTAGGCGGGAGATGTTCTTCAGATGAAAGAATTACGTTTTACAGATGTGACTAATGTGGCCATTGAAGGAGAGAGCAGGGTCGAATTTCACACCCAAATTAATGACGACCGAGGAGAGGGGGATGATGTGGCCATCTATGACAGGGCAGATGCTGCAGGAGTTGATCTGCTGGGGGGTGCCTATCAGCATTGCTTCTGTCTTGCTGCTGTTGAGTTGTAGGAAGTTGTTTTGCATCCAAGATTTGACCTCTTCCAGACAGTTGGACAATGTTAACAGAGCAGATGTTGTCAGGCTTTGTTTTGATGTACACCTGTGTGTCGTCTGCGTAGCAGTGGAATTGGACACTGTTGTCTGAAGATCTGGCCAAGTGGGAACGTGTAGAGTAGGAAGAGGATAGGTCCTAACACTGACCCTTGTGGGACACCGCAAGGGTCTTGCCTCTCCGAGGGTGACGTACTTCTTGCGTTTAGAGAGGTAGGAGGTGAACCAGTTTAGGGCGGTCCCACAGATGGCAGTGTGCTCTCTGAGGTGCTACAGTAGAATGGTGTGATCTACTGTGTCAAAAGCAGCACTGAGGTCCAGAAGAATCAAGATGGTGTGGGATCCTGTATCTGCAGCCATGAGCAGGTCATTTACAACCTTCACCAGGGCTGTCTCAGTACTGTGCATGGGCCTGAAGCCAGACTCTAGAGCCTCATAAAGATGGTTAGCATAAAGATGATTGTCAAGCAAATAACTGCCGGTCTCACGGTAATTGACCGAATGAACATAAACACATTTAGCGTCTCCTGTCTTCCACACAAAGCCTACAAGCCACTGATGCAGACATTTTGAACATTTTAAAAAGTCTAATAAATCCATGTAATATAGCCTACACCATCACAATAAATCCATTATTTATTTTAGACAGGTCTAAAGAAGCATGATATGAAGAAAATGTAGTACATTTCAGAACAGAATAGCATACTCTGAGTTGTCCTGATGTTAGGCCCTGATCTGGCTATGCCATATGGCTGTGGGCTGCACTAGTTCATTTAGCAGACAAGATTTGCTTAGAATTCTGTGGAATTATTTTATATTATTTTATAGTATGAAGAATACAGTTGAACATAGCTTAATGAAATATAAAATATATTTTCTATAAAACGATTTGAAGGAGTGCGCGCATGCGGCTATTATGTGTTGAGTGGTTAACAAAGAAACAGGTACTCCTATATGCTTAATTTAGAGTTATTTATGTAACTTTAGTCGTGATACAAATGTTGGGCTATATGTTTTGATTTTTAATACATTCTAAGGCTGCATGATGCGACTAATGATGATTTGAAAAAAGTTGCATGAAAGGCATGAGCTCTGCTTTGTTTTTTTGCGCAGGCTGTACACACTTCATCAGTCTCTCATTCACAATTTGACAAGCACTTGATAATGCCTTGAATTTCCCGGCTGCATCCCCTTTGTGTGGCCGTAATGCCCCCTAAGAAAATCCATGCCTTTTGCGGCCAGTGGCCGTTGTGACCTTGGGCTGAATATAATAATTATAATTCCCTTCTCCCGGCTGCGTGCTGAAGCACCTCTTACTCACATGGCTCTCCGTCACGTGATCGGGTCTTTCTCACAGGCTACAAGTGAAGACAGACACATCTGGGACGCAACTGCGCGCGTCCTTATCCAATTCCGAGGAGAATATTGAAGATATTGGAAGAACGGTCCATATTTACTTTTCGTCAGCCAACAAGATGAGTAGGCTTAACGAACAGCAAAAGCACTAGTCTATGTCAACTATCTACTATCCCCCATAGTACTTAAGTTGACCTATTCTGTTCTGTGCGAGAAATAAATATTCCAAACATAGTCTGGGACAGTTGTGGGATGTGATAGAGCCCAAATTAATACAACCACTAGCATCAAAAAACCTATTTTTAAGCAATGAGCCTGATGCAACAGATGAGAACATTTAGCTTAAATTTTGATACACTATTAGGCTATTTCTTCACATTATAAGCACAGCAATGCGCACACGGCAGTAGGCTATAAGTGCGAGTGTTCCATTAGCACGAAAACACCATTCTCAAAAGTGACCACAAATGCGATTATGCATGTAATGCTTTTATTATAAAGGTGCGTTTTTATGGTGAAAATTATCTTCCCCAAACATGAAACTATGTATGCCAGTTAGGCTCTACACCCGTTGTAAAGCGGATTAATGTGCTTCATTTTAAGAAGTTATTTGGCCACTTTAGTTGTGATACAAACCTTATCAAAACATATAGGCCTATGGGCTACACTACATGAGGGGTGCGACTATGATTTGAAAAAGTCAACAAAACAAAGAAGCATGCGCTGTTTCTTGCCTTAAGCTGGGCATCATTCACAAGTGATAATACAGTGCATTCGGAAAGTAATCAGGCCCCTTCACTTTTCCCACATTTTGTTACTTTACAGCCTTATTCTAAAATGAATTTTAAAAAATCGTCATCAATCTACACACAATACCCCATAATGACAAAGCGAAAATTGTTTTTTTGACATTTTTGCTAATTTATCAATTTAAAAAAAAAAAAAACGTATTTACATAAGTATTCAGACCCTTTGCTATGACACTCGAAATTGAGCTCAGGTGCATCCTGTTTCCGTTGATCATCCTTGAGATGTTTCTACAACTTGGAGTCCACCTGTGGTAAATTCAATTGATTGGACATGATTTGGAAAGGCACACACCTATTTATATAAGGTCCCACAGTTGACAGTGCATGTCACAGCAAAACCAAGCCATGAGGTCGAAGGAATTGTCCGTAGAGCGCCGAAACAACAGGATTCTGTCGAGGCACAGATCTGGGGAAGGGTACAAAACATTCCTGCAGCATTGAAGGTCCCCAAGAACACAGTGTCCTCCATCATTCTTAAATGGAAGAAGTTTGGAACCACCAAGACTCTTCCTAGAGCTGGCCGCCTGGCCAAACTGAGCAATCGGGGGAGAAGGGCCTTGTAGAGGGATGTGACCAAAAACCAGATGGTCACTCTGGCAGAGCTCCAGAGTTCCTCTGTGGAATTGGGAGAACCTTCCAGAAGGACAACCATCTCTGCAGCACTCCACCAATCAGGCCTTTATGGTAGTGGCCAGACGGAAGCCACTCCTCAGTAAAAGGCACATGACAGCCCGCTTGGAGTTTGCCAAAAGGCACCTAAAGGACTCTCAGACCATGAGAAACAATATTCTCTGGTCTGATGAAACCAAGATTGAACTCTTTGGCCTGAATGCCAAGCGTCACGTCTGGTGAAGCATGGTGGTGGAAGCAGCATCATGCTGTGGGGATGTTTTTCAGCGGCAGGGACTGGGAGACTAGTCAGGATCGTGGGAAAGATTAACGGAGCAAAGTACAGAGTGATCCTTGATGAAAACCTGATCCAGAGCGCTCAGGACCTCAGACTGGGGTGAAGGTTCACCTTCCAACAGGACAACGACCCTAAGCACACAGCCAAGACAACGCAGGAGTGACTTCGGGACAAGTCTTTGAATGTCCTTGAGTGGCCCAGCCAGAGCCCGGACCTGAACCCGATCTAACATCTGAAAAGACCTGAAAATAGCTGTGCAGCGAAGCTCCCCATCCAACCTGACAGAGCTTGAGAGGATCTGCAGAGAAGAATGGGAGAAACTCCCCAAATACAGATGTGCCAAGCTTGTAGCCCAGTGGGCTTGTAGCCCAGTGGCCGCTTGAGAGCTCTCAGGTAGAGCACGTTATGACATCTTGCCTGGGTTTGTTTACAAAAAAGTAAAACTGTCGCCCCGACATATAAACAAATTACATAACTGAGTCTTGCTTTAAACCGCTAAACTGACAACCAGAAGTGACCACTTGTCCTTTTTTAAATTTGTGTCTCACAAACTCACTGTTAACTCAGTTCCTTCCTTTGTGCTCATAGTCTCCAAACATGTTTCCCACAGATCAGCATCATGACCCTGCGTCTGTTTGAGCACCTGATCCAGAAGCCCAACCAGCACATCCTCCACAGTCTGGTGCTACGTAGCCTGGAGGAGAGGAACTACCTGGAGAACAAGCCCCAGGAGGAGAGGGAGCCCCTGGAGAACGGCCAGCCCCACGACTTCATGTAAGGGATCCCTCCGCCGAGTCTGTCCTGCATGGGCTCTGGGGTTTTAACTATCTAACTGCATTCAGAAATTTACATTTAGTGGAAATAAAATGAATAAAAAGTGTATTCCCTCATTATGTGCCACAATACACAATACTTCACAGATGGTGTGTCCATAACTTGGAACCATTAATGAAATGGCAATGCACTACAACCACCACCAAAAATGACTTGAGCTTAGCCATCATGGAATGTGAACATATGAAATTAATTTGTATGGTTCCTCAGTATGTTTGGGCCTAGTCCCTCGTGACCGATTAAGCATTCTCTGGCCAGCGCGCATGATGTTAGATTTTGTTCTGGGTGCTGAGTTTAGTTGGGGCAACTAATGCAAATTCCATGGAATATCACTCCTTAGTGAATTCTGCCCATTATTTCTTCTATCTGTTCACATTATGACAAACACATAACCCTAATAAGAGAGATTTCATATCTGTGTGAACCACTGTCTCTTTGAATTAGAAAATGCATTAACCACGCCTAGTATCCAAACATTAGGTTGAAATCCCTAACAATATGAAAGCATAGTGTCAGAGACTCCTCCTTTTGATGTAAAATCACTAAGCTAATTGTAACCAATTACCTTAGTGATGTAAAATGTAATGCATTTTACATTGAATGTGCCAACTGATGTTTTGTTATGTCTTTCAGAGACCTTGAAGAGGACCCTCTGTTTGGCGACGTCATCTCTCCAGAGAACAGGTTGTCCAGCCCTGATTGGTTGAGCAACTCCCCAACACATAATCCCTACCACGCTAAGCCTGATGGAAAGACAGAGGTCCACAAGATTGTAAACAGGTACACAGTCTTTCCTAGGCAGCATGTGTCTTATCTTGTTACATATTGAAAACTATTTTTAGCAAGTAAGATACATGCGTCATATAACCCTATTCTGTTTTTATTATGTTTATTTCAGTTTCCTGTGTTTGGTCCCTGATGAAGCCAAATCCTCGTCTCATGTGGAGGGAACGGGTTATGACACCTACCTAAGAGATGCACACAAACAGGTGAGTTCTCCAGGTCTCTCTCATGTTCCCTAGCTTCTAATTCACTGAACTCAATAGAAATCTGGGTTGTGTTCATTAGGGTACACCATTGGAAACCGTTTTGCACGTGTTTCTTATTGTTCTTATATAAGTTTAGATAGTATCTCCCTGTGTCACTCGGTTTTGGACTGTTTGCTTCTGATTCAAGCCTACTGAATACCACCCTGGATCTCTGATTTGTAACTAACACTGAATGGATGGCATGTTGTCTACCCAATGTCATAACTCAACATTATCATTGTCCTCATCTTTTTTTAGTTCAGGGACTACTGTGGGATCTGTCAGAGATGGGACTGGCGCGGCACCCCCAAGGCCATGGAGAAGTGTGACCTGGACAGTCCCTTCTTCGAGGGCCACTTCCTCAAAGTCCTCTTCGACAGGATGGGCCGTATTTTGGATCAGGTGAGTTTGAAGTCAAGGAAAGATCTCAGATTTCCAGAAGACTCTCCATTGAAAGTGCTTCTTAGTCCAAGATTAGGCTTAATCTGTGTCAGGAAAACCGACCCAGAATGTTCAGACTGGGTATCAATTGGATCAAATTGGATTAAACACTTAAATCGGCTTTGTGAGTTTAGCGATATTGTGGTGTCTAGATCCAGACGCATCATGGTGCACTGTCCCTTCTCTGTCCTCCAGCCTTATGACGTGAACCTGCAGGTGACGTCAGTGCTGTCCAAGCTGTCCCTGTTACCCCACCCACACATGCATGAGTACCTGCTGGATCCCTACATCAACCTGGGCCCCGGCTGCAGGTCCCTCTTCTCCGTCATCGTCAGGGTATGTTGAGGAATCAACATGAGCAGATACTCAGATACCCTCTATTGATCTTTCATGAACTGATATTGAAGTGAAGTAAGGGAGGAAGTATTTTTGTTGAGTAGAGTAAATCTTGAGTATCAATTTAGTTAGTGCAATTATGTTCTAGTCACGTTTATGTAAATATAACAATTTCCACAATAACCAGGTTTCCATCCAAGCATTTCATTGCGAGTAAAGTACATGTCGGATAAAACATGTCTTGACAGGCCTGATGGAAACAGAACATTTTCCGGTAAACTTTCCAAATGTCGACAAAACAAAATATGCTAGACAAAGTGGGATCTTTCTGTGTCGGTAAAATGAATTAATGCGAGAAATGTCGGTTGAACCGCTTTTTTGCGCAAATATTGATGTAATAACCATCATATCAAAGTCAACTTGGAGTCACGCGATGACATGTTGTGTGGTCCTCCCACTACGAGTTGGGAAAGCATGCAGTTTATTATGCTACAAATGAAATAAGTTATGATGAACTTCACAGGGTGGTGAAAGTGCAAGGTGATGAGCAAGATGCTCCTTTCCAATCAATATTGAGGGTCTTATTCTGGTGACTTGACAAATAAAAACGATCTCGTCATAATAATCTCATCATGTAGGTTATACGTGCGCTCTAGCCATACGCTCTAGCCATACGCTCTAGCCATTACTGTACCTGTGAGCTGTTGGCTACTAGATAACGCACATTTTTCTTTGTGAGAAAACCATCAGTAGAGTTGAAAATGCAATGGAAACCCATTTAACTTGTATTTTGTATTTGGCACGTGGGAATTTAACCGCAAAATGTATTTTTAAGTGCACTACGTCCTCACGCACAGCCTTTTATCTGCATTTGATGGAAACATCTCTGGTGGGAAAATGTGCATATTGTTTTTATGCTGATTTTTAGAATATTTGCATGAAAATCTCTTGCCAATTGAATGGAAACCCAGCTATTGTCAGTATTGAACCTGCTCTGAGCCTTTATAATGTAACACTGATTTGCCCCTGTACATTACACTCTGTCAGGTGGTTGGGGACCTCATGTTGAGGATTCAGCGCATCCCAGACTTCACACCCAAACTCCTGCTGGTAAGAAAGAGACTGCTTGGCCTGGAACCAGAGGGTTTGAAGTAAGTACTCTGTGAAAGGTTTCTGTAGTTCACAAAACATAGTAAGATGTGTTGAATTCAGGTAGCAAAGATATGTTTAAGTCAGGTAGCTACTAGCCAGATGTATTTAACTTGAAGTGGATGTGTTAAGATTTGACGCTATGTCTCTCTAATCTTCCTTGTGTAGCATTGACCACATAGGCACATTTAGTTCAGGTAGCCAGATGTATTTGACTTGAAGTGGCGGCAGGTAGCTTAGTGGTTAAGAGCGTTGTGCCAGTAACCGAAAGGTCGCTGGATCTAATCCCCGAGCCGACTAGGTGAAAATCTGTCGATGTGCCCTTGAGCAAGGCACTTAACACTAATTGCTCCTGTAAGTCGCTCTGGATAAGAGCGTCTGCTAAATGACCACAAAAAAAATAAAAAGTGTATGTGTTGAGGTTTGACAGTGTCACCAGGGATTATTCTGCCATTTAAATCTTTGGGTGGGCCACCTAAGCGGTTTTTTGGGCTGCCTAAGTCCAAACAGTGTAAAAAAAAAAACGTTGAACAAAAATAAAACATATAGGCTGTCATCAAGGCAAAGGGTGGCTATTTGAAGAATCTCAAATATAAAATATATTTTGATTTGTTTAACACTTTTTTGGTTACTACATGATTCCATAGTTTTGATATCTTCACTATTATTCTACAATGTAGAAAATAGTTTTAAAAAATAAAGAAAAACCCTGGAATGAGTAGGTGTGTCCAAACTTTTGACTGGTACTGTATGTGTATATATATATATATATATATACTGAGTGTACAAAACATTAGGAATGCCTTCCTAATATCGAGTTGCACCCCCTTTTGCCCTCAGAACAGCCTCAATTCGTCGGGGCATGGACTAAAATGTGTCAAGCGTTCTACAGGGATGCTGGCCCATGTTAACTCCAATGCTTCCCACAGTGGTGTCATTTTGGCTGGATGTCCTTTGGGTGGTGGACCGTTCTTGATACACATGGAAAACTGTTGAGCGTGAAAAACCTAGCAGCATTGTTTTGTATACTCAGTATATAGTGAGGTCTGAAATTATTGACACCCTTGATCAAGATGAGCATTTATAAAATAAATAATTCAAATACGGTGCTATATTGTATGCACATTGTTTGGGGGAAATGATATTATTTTATACTAATACAGTTGCTCAGAGAAAGAGGTGATGTTTAACAAGTGATAAAAAATGTTCTCTCAAAGGTAGGCGTCAAAATTATTGACACTCCTAAAGATCCTTATAATGAAAGTAGCCAGAAGTTGAGTATTTGGTCCCATATTCCTAGCACGCAATGACTACATTAAGCATGTGACTCTACAGACTTGTTGGATGTATTTGCAGTTCGTTTTGGTTGTGTTTCAGACACAGGAGGTTGGTGGAACCTTAATTGGGGAGAACGGGCTTGTGGTTATGGCAGGAATGGTGTCAAATACATCAAATACATGGTTTCCATGTGTTTGATGCCATTCCATTCCTTCCATTCCAGCCATTATTATGAGCTGTCCTCCCCTCAGCAGCATTCCCCCCCCCAATATAAATGAATGGTAAATCATGTATTGTAATTTTGGAGTCACTCTTATTTGTAAATAATTATATAATATGTTTCTTAACACTTCTACATTCATGTTGATGCTACCATGATTATGGATAATCCTTAACGAATCGCGAATAATGATGAGTGAGAAAGTTACGGAGGGTCAAAGATCATACCCCCAAGACATGCTAACCTTGTTATTGGTAATGGTGAGAGGTTAGCATGTGTTGAGGGGTATGATTTTTGACCCTTTGTAACTTTATCACTCATCGTTATTCGCGATTCGTCCAGGATTATCCGTAATCATGATACGGAATGGTTTGTACTGTATGTTTCCCCAAAACTTTATTATACGTTCTTGAACAGACTGAGTTACTTTTGCTCCACTTGGTGTGTGTGGCGGGGTGTGGCTTGAAGCAATGATTTACGTATTTAAAGGGCAGCGGCAATGCTGACAGCGTTCCCCAACCCAAAACCAACCCCTCCCCTTTCCTGTGTAGCGTTGACCACATAAACACATTTAGGCCTAGTTCGGGTAGCCAGAAGTATTTGACTTGAAGGGGATGTGTTAAAGTTTGACACAGTGTCTGTCTGGTCTTTCCTATGTAGCATCGACCACATAACCCTGCTGGAGGGGGTGATTGTACTGGAGGAGTTCTGCAAGGAGCTGGCTGCCATTGCCTTTGTCAAATTTCACGCGTCTGCCTCCACCTCCCCCTAACCCAACCTCCAAGGCAAGGCAGATCAGGACTGGGGGGGGGGGTTACTTACCACTGGTCATCCCTAAAATAGATTGTGCCCCAAAGACATACTGTAAGCAGGACATGTTTCATCAAATGTCTTGAGACTCAAATTTCTTGGGACTACAGAGAAAGTATTTTGCTCCATGTCCTAACCAGAACAGAACAGTATGGCTGGCAATTGGGGGCTAGAGGCTTTCAGGGTGAGGAAGAGGATGTGTGGATGGATGCGGTAGGAGAGGGGACATTCTCAGGATGGTTTGAGCTGGGCAGGGCCTGCAGAGTCCCTGCGCGCTCTCGCTGTCTTTCTCACCAACCAAAACAAATATGATTCACTATGTGTGTCATAGAGAGAAATTTGTTTTCTGTGTGTGTGTTTTTATTTCAGTTTTTTTCAGACTCTGCTGTTTGTAAGCGTCAATGCCTTGGTGTTGGATTATTACGCCTTTTCAGTTACATTTTCAAAAGATTGTTTGTTTCCTATTGAAATATTTTATCTTTAGCCCACATGTCTAATATATTCCTCTTCTGTCAGATTATCAATGTAAAATCGCAAAAAATATGTGGACAAGATAGCCCCTCTAATTAGCACCCAAATTTCTTATCAAAATCAGGTAATTGACCCGATTCGTGTAAAAAAAAAAAAAAGGACATGCAATACAATGGAAAATGTTATTATTTAACTTAATTTTTTTTATGGAGAAGTTTCACTGTAGTATCTGAGATAATACGATACTAGTCACGGCTGTGGCAGAAATGGAAGGCCCCTGTATTTATTTTCACTGTTTCTTTCAGGTTGCCTTTTTAACAGTCACATATGCATTTGTAAAGAAAGAAAACCATTTTTAACCAATTTTAATAGATTACCCATTATATGGACTAATGGTAGACAAGGAGGAACTCTCAATGCAACTTACTTTGCAACAAATCTGTCAAGTTTTGAATTGTCCCTGACTAGTAAACTTCACTGTGGAGATGTTAGTGTTAACTTTGCTTAGGCTACCTACCTAACCATGTCAATGGTTGTGTGTATTTCTTATTGTTTGCACCCTCAACCTCACTAGCAATGGGATAACATTATAGAGTAATGTGACATCTCATTTTGTAGAATGTGGATCCTGAAAAACAAACTGGATTTGGACATTGACTTCTATGTACATTTGCACTCGTTACATACACTACCGTTCAAAAGTTTGGGGTCACTTAGAAATGTCCTTGTTTTTGAAAGAAAAGCAAAAAAAAATTGTCCATTAAAATAAAATCAACTTGATCTGAAATACAGTGTAGACATTGTTAATGTTATAAATGGCTATTGTAGCTGGAAACGGCAGATTTGTTTATGGAATATCTAGGTAGGCGTACGAGGCCCATTATCAGCAACCATCAGTCCTGTGTTCCAATGGCACGTTGTATTTGCTAATCCAAATTGATCATTTTAAAAGGCTAATTCATCATTAGAAAACCCTGTTGCAGTTATGTTAGCACAGCTGAAAACTGTTGTGCTGATTTTTCTTCTGAAACTCGTCAGTCTATTCTTGTTCTGAGAAATGAAGGCCATTCTATGCGAGAAATTGACAAGAAACTGAAGATCTCGAACAGCGCTGTGTACTACTCTGATTTTTCTTCTGAAACTCGTCAGTCTATTCTTGTTCTGAGAAATGAAGGCCATTCTATGCGAGAAATTGACAAGAAACTGAAGATCTCGAACAGCGCTGTGTACTACTCCCTTCACAGAACAGCGCAAACTGGCTTTAACCAGAATAGAAAGAGGAGTGGGAGGCCCCGGTGCACAACTGAGCAAGAAGACAAATACATTAGTGTCTAGTTTGAGAAACAGGCATCTCACAGGTCCTCAACTGGCAGCTTCATTAAATAGTACCGGCAAAACACCAGTCTCAACAGTGAAGAGGCGACTCCGGAATGCTGACCTTCTAGGCAGAGTTGCAAAGAAAAAGCCATATCTCAGACTGCCTATCTTAATATTTTATTTTTATTGGCCGGTCTGAGATATGGCTGTTTCTTTGCAACTCTGCCTAGAAGGTCAGCATCCCGGAGTCGCCTCTTCACTGTTGACGTTGATGTCCTCTTGCTCAGTTGTGCACCGGGGCCTCCCACTCCTCTTTTTATTCTGGTTAGAGCCAGTTTGCGCTGTCCTGTGAAGGGAGTAGTACACAGCGTTGTAGGAGATCTTCAGTTTCTTGGCAATTTCTCTTCTTTAATCAGCACAACAGTTTTCAGCTGTGCTAACATAATTGCAAAAGGGTTTTCTAATGATCAATTAGCCTTTTAAAATGATAAACTTGGATTAGCAAACACAACATGCCATTGGAACACAGGACTGATGGTTGCTGATAATGGGCCTCTGTACGCCTATGTAGATATTCCAAACACAACATGCCATTGGAACACAGGACTGATGGTTGCTGATAATGGGCCTCTGTACGCCTATGTAGATATTCCATAGAAAATCAGCAGTTTCCATCTACAATAGCCATTTACAAGATTAACAATGTCTACACTGTATTTCTGATCAATTTGATGTTATTTTAATGGACAAATAAATTGCTTTTCTTTTGAAAACAAGGACATTTCTAAGTGACCCCCAACTTTTGAACGGTAGTGTATATCTGAATCTTTGCTTTGTTTTGGGAACTTTGTCGGCTTTTGAGGAAAGTGACACAGCTTTTTTCTCATTTTGCCTCTGTGACAATGTTATTGTTTAATACAGTAATCATTATTGCTGTTTCAAAATGTGTTCTGCTACATTGTACACTTATGTTGTCTTTATCTGTACTACTGGCATGGCCGTCTTTCAGCGATCTTACATTGAACACATTTTCTACGTGTTATTAATTACGTGTTTATTTATAAGAGGTCATCTTAATTTTGGGGTTGGGAGGTCCTCAAAGTGATCATATTACATCATTAATTCTGTCTTGGTTAGCTTACACAGTGGCATGTAGGCCTACATGTAAATGTATGTGAACACATTACAAGAATTTGATATGTTCCTTCATAAGCTACCATTTTATAAATGCAATTGGATACATAAAGTTTGTTCTGTAGAGGTATTTAATTTACCAGTAATATTGTTTTCCAGCATGGTCTTTGAGGATGCAGAGGAAAGGACTCCAATTAATGTGCCCTTAATGTAGGACACTATTGTGTGGTGTGTAGATTAGAAGATCGTGTAACCAGGGTTACTTGCAAGTACCTGTTGGAGTAATTTTGTGGAGGTTGGACACTTACACTTCATTCTTTAATTGGTCTGAATTAGGGAACTACTTGACATAACCGGTGCTGGGGAGGTGTTGCCTGTCTGAATGCTTTGGGTTTGTACATGGATGGTGTGCAGTGTGTGTGTGGTTGTGTTATAGGGGATGAATGTGTGTGAATGCTTGCTGTAGTACGCAGGCAGGCTGGATGAGTCTCAGTGAGGTCAGGAGTTGAAATACTCAACATTTGCCGGGACACTGAACTGATCTGGTGTTCCTGCTAAGTTACCATAGCAAGTTGGCTTCTGGATGTTCTGGTTGTCCACCCTATTCAGCACCTGGGGGGTATGTCACAAAATAGGATCAACTTGTTAGCCAGCTAACTTGTTTGAATGTTCTGGATAACTTTCTAGGAAGGATATGCTTGATATTTATATGAATTGATTCAACCAACAACCCATTTTGCAGTTTAGCTTTATTAATGAACCAGATAATGCGTTATTTCATGTTTATTAAAGTTAGCTCTCTAACTTGGTTGGCCTGCTTTGTAGTATACCCCTCTTACCTAATTATGCAAACGTTTGCATGAAATCAGATTTGCACATTGTCTTCATTCTTGTTCATATGTTGTACATATACCAATACTAAAAAGCTTTTTTAGTTTTCAATTTGTTTTTGTATCATGAACCAAAAAAATTATTAGGATGTACCTTTCAGGAGTGACTAGTCTACTTTAATGGAAGAAAGACTTGTTTTTTATTCTTAATCATGCAAAAATGTTATCAATGTTTCCAACCTTTCTGTACCTGTGTATATAGGCTATATGTGTACAATGGCAATAGTAATATTGCCGGGTGTAAATGCATGCATATCATTTATTGTAATGAGGAAAGCAGCAGCTCTCTCCTAGCCTAGTCCCAGATCTGTTTGTGCTGTCTGGCCAACTCCTATGGCCATTGTCACACTAATGACCATAGGAGTTGGGAAGACTGCACAAAGATCAGGGACCAGGCTCTCTTCCCATCCATGATGATTTCTTAGCTGTCAGCACTTTGCTCCTCTTCTGAAGACACTGACAGGGAAATACAATGATGCCTTACTTCACACTAAGACGTTAATGGTTTCACTGCTTGGCTTGGGTTTGTTTGTTACACATAGGATGCTCTATTTGTGAAAGGCGTACAGGGCTTGTATTTCCTTGTCTGGGTGCAAGAGTCTAGTATTATTCAAAAAAAACTGACGCCAACTTAATTTTCCTGTTATGTATCCGCTTAGACCAATCACTGTATATCTTTGGTAAACATGTTTGCTGCATTTAATTGTTAACCTCCATTGCTGCTTAAAACTGGGTGTGAAATGGTTTATGTTTTTTGACTTTTTCATGACCAGTATGATTTATTCTGTGATTTAGTGCAATGGTATTTAAATGTAAGATAAGTTGCATGCTCATTCCTCATCATGCCTCTTGATGCTTATGATCAGTGTTTTGAAAGTGACTATCGCTGACAGGTGGGTTCTTTTCTGCAGTTCCTCTCACACACTCAGGGGCATCACGTCTTCATTCTCATCTGCCATTTCTGCTTTTTGCCTGCTACTTTTCGGTGTGTATGAGAAATCATACAGGACATTATGGCTTTGTTTAACATTTTCCGTCCCCAATAAAAAGTAGCTTTATTCATCAAGTTGTTTGGTTGTTATTGCTGAATCAAGTTGGATTATGGACAAAATACAAAAGGTTTAATTAGTTTTTATTAAAAAAAGTTTTGTACATATGGTGACATTTAGATTCAAAAGTACGAAAAGAAAACAA